GTGGGGTTGGTTCTGAAGAGAGCGATCAGACACCCATGCAAAGGTTGCTGAGAGTGTTGGTGCTCGAATATATCTGCGATATCAAAGCATCGAAATAACACCAGCGCAGTTTGTGAGGTCAATATTAGAAGGTCGCGGGTCGTATTCGTTTCGCATGAGCATGGGTGTGACCCCCGAGTCCTGAGCTAGTGGGGATGAAGGTCACTGTGGCTCTCGTGTATGGCTCGCCGTCCCCGTCACGAACAGCGCACGGGGTCACATGACAGCGATGTCGCCCAAGGGTCCTCAGAACCGGGGCGGAACATTTCTGGCCCCGGGGCCTTGAAGCTTCCCCAAGGTCTGGTAAAAATCTCAGGCGGCGGCCAACGACAAAACCACTGGCGCGCATCACGACAGACGACCCCGATTGCGAGCCAATGCCACTCATGTCCGCTTTATAACAGGCCCTGACACCTGCCACGTCTTCCCTGCGACTTTCCGCGCTGCATTCGACACATTCGACGGCGCAATGGGTGCCCGGCCGGCCTGGTCCTCGCTGCGGCGGGTGACGCACCTCATGCCCTCCCAGGTCGCTTCTACTTCCGCCGCTCCCTCATCATTACCCTTCCTCGCCAGCTCTAGGACCCTGACGAAAAATACGACGATGGCGACGAGTATATCTACGTCTCCAGGCTGTCTCGCCGCGCGAGCCTTCTCGACCACGACGCCCGTCCAGACCAAGACCATCAAGCCGCACCGCCTCCCCTCCAACCTCATCCCGCCGTACCCCTACGGCGAGCGCCGCATCTACAAGCAGTCCAACAAGGGTCTGTACGGCAGCGCGCGCATCCGCTTCGGCAACATCGTCGCGGAGAAGCACAAGAACAAGACGCGGCGTTACTGGCGGCCCAACGTGCACGTCAAGGCCTTTTATTCGCCCGCGCTAGACGCCCGCGTCAAGACGCGCCTGACCCTGCGTGTCCTCAAGACGATCCGCCGCGAGGGTGGCATCGACAACTACCTGCTCAAGAGCAAGCCCGCCCGCATCAAGGAGCTCGGCCCCGGCGGCTGGAACCTGCGCTGGCTGCTCATGCAGACCCAGGCCGTCCAGCGCCGCTTCAACGAGGAGCGCGTCGCCCTCGGCCTCGAGCCCAGGGAGATTGAGGACCGCGACGACATCATCCAGTATGCCCTCGATTTTGCCACCCCAGGGCCCTTGAGCGTGCGGAGTCGCGCCACCCTGGGCGAGATGAACGCCGCCATGGCCGATGCCTTCGTGCTCGGCGATGACGAGGCCGCCCTCGCCGATCTTGAGGGCATCGAGGAGCTGTCCGACGAGGCGGAGGAGCTGTTGCTGCGCGAGCTGGACGAAGCGGATCGTGCTGCCGAAGCCAAGGTGAAGACGGAGAAACAGGGGGTCGACGCATAGATGACCGCCTCTTGTACTTGTATATGAAGATTACCACTTGTACTTTTATGTGAGAATTGCCTCTTGTGGCAGGACACGGTATTTTCGCTTGCAGGCTACTGATTCGACTATCCTGGGCAGTGTTTGTAAATAACTACCGCCACCGACTGACGCAGGCACCAGCGGGGTGGACAATCTGGATTGCGGGAGTCACACGTATCTCAAGAGTTCATGAGCCAATTTCAGACTGTAAGGGTGTCCCAGGCACAACGGAGACATTACACCGTCCAAATACTAGTAACCAATTCTCTTGTCGCATTTTAGATCTGTGCGAAGCTTCCAATTCCAACCTCAAAACGCCCGCGCCATTGGGCGCCATGGTATATATCTAAGATAGCGAGACAACAAAACATCCTTCTCTAGAATCGCAGGTCCCAGCCGATCTGGGGCCCAATCTTCGGCAGCTCGTCCGCGACGCTTTGCACGTCCTTGTCACCACGGCCACTCAGGCAGATAACGATGTCCTCGCCCTTCTTCATCGTCTTGGCCAGCTCAATGGCACCGTAGATGCCGTGCGCCGACTCCAGGGCCGGGATGATGCCCTCAAGCTGGCTGATCAGCCTGAAGCCCTGGAAGGCCTGCGCGTCCGTGGCGGCGATGAACGTGGCTCTCTGGCTGTCCTTCCAGGAGCTCAGCTCAGGGCCAACGCCAGGGTAATCCAAACCGGCCGAGACCGAGTGCGTGTCCGAGATCTGGCCGTGCTTGTTCTGGAGAACGTAGGTCCTGACGCCATGGAGGACGCCCTTGGAGCCTCCCGACAGGGTGGCACTGTGGCGGTTCGTGTCGATGCCGTCGCCACCGGCTTCGACGCCGAGGAGCTTGACGCTGGGGTCGTTGGAGAAGGGGTAGAACATGCCCACGGCGTTGCTGCCGCCGCCGACGCAAGCGACCACTGCGTCGGGCAGCTTGCCACGCTTCTCCATCATCTGCTTCTTCGTCTCGTCGCCAATGACGGACTGGAAGGTTCGGACAATGGTCGGGAACGGGTGAGGGCCGATGGCGGAGCCAATGATGTAGTGTGTCGTCTCGAGCTCGACAACCCAAGCACGCAGCGCTTCGTTGACGGCGTCACGAAGAGTCTTGCTGCCGGCCTCGACAGCGACGACCTTGGCGCCCAAAAGTCTCATTCGGAACACGTTGAGAGCCTGGCGGCGAACATCCTCCTACAATTATTTTCAGCATCAATTCGAAAAAGGTCAGCACTCGGTAAAATAAGTCACTTACAGCACCCATGTAGACAGTGCACTCCATGCCAAACTTGGCGCAGACCGTGGCGGTAGCAACACCGTGCTGGCCGGCGCCAGTCTCGGCGATGATCTTGGTCTTGCCCAGCCTCTTGGCAAGCAGCAGCTGGCCGAGGGCGTTGTTGATCTTGTGGCTGCCCGTGTGGTTGAGGTCCTCTCGCTTAAGCCAGATGTTTGCGCCTCCGGCGTGCTCAGTCAGCCGCTCAGCCATGTGCAGGCGCGACGGCCGGCCCATGTAATCGTAGTATGACCGATACTCCTCCCAGAATGCCGGGTCGTCCTTGATCTTGTTGAAGCCCTCCTCGAGCTCGGACAGGCAGTCCATCAAGCTCTCGGGAACGTATTGGCCACCGAACTCTCCGAAGCGTTCCGGAATCTTGCCGTGGAGAGCGGCCAGCTGGGCAACCAGTGCGCTGTCCTGCTCGGCGGTGATGCGGCCGTCCTTGCCGACCACGGCGTTGACAGTGACATTCTCACCGCTCGGCTCTCGGGCTCCAGCCACGGCTTCTACCAGGCCGACTTCGCGCGTGGCGTTATCCTGAGGCAGCGAATCCCGACCGCACAGGTAGGCCAGGTACTTCTCGACCTCGGCGGCCTCCTGGCCAGCCGGGGCCTTCTGCAGCGTGGTCACCAGCTGGCTACCGACGACGACACCATCGGCGATGCTTCCAATGCTCTTGAAATGCTCGTTGGTGCTGACACCAAAGCCGACAGCTGCGGGCTTGTTGCCGCTGTACCGCTTGACTCGCTCGACCAACTCGGGTAGCTTTGCGTTGATCGTCCCGAGGGCGCCGGTGACACCTTGCCTGGACACGACGTAGATGAAGGAATCGGCGAGCTGGCAGAGAATCTTCATGCGAGCATCTGAGGTGGCCGGAGCGATAAGGGGCACATATGAGAGGCTGCGGGGCGATGGTGGTTAGCAAGAGACTCATCGGGGCACGTGATGGAAAGCAGACTCACTTTCCGCGCGTGCAGAGCTTGCGGAACGAAACGGCCTCTTCGGGGGGCAAGTCGACGACAATGAAGCCGTTGACTCCAGCAGCCTGGCAGTCCTGAAGCAGGCGCTCCTCGCCGTAGCTGAGCAGGGGGTTGTAGTAGCCCATGAGCAGCACGGGCGCCTTGAGGCCCTGACTCCTCGCGTCTTTGACCATCTGAAGGGAAGATTCAATGGTAACGCCGTTCTCCAGAGCAACCTAGTTCTGAGGTCAGCCGTTGCCCTTGTCTAGGTTCTCGGATTGGAGGATCGGGAAATCGTACGGTGTTGGCGGTCTGAATCGTGGGGCCGTCGGCAATGGGGTCGGTGAAGGGGACGCCGAGCTCAATCACGTCTGCCAAGCGTCAGCATAGTGTTCATGTCGCTCGCCGGGCGCCAGAACCCCGTCTTGTGGCATGTCAGACTCACCAGCGCCTCCCTTCTCCATGGCGAGCATGATGCTCGGCGTGTCCTCAGCCCGAGGAAAGCCGGCCGTGACATATGTAACGAGGGCGGCCTGTATTATTAAAGACCAATTGAGTCAGCAAGGGTCTTGTCCCGACGTCTTCAGTGCCATGTCGCACAGCCGCAGCAGTGGGCGATGCCGTGCCCCTCGGTAATCTGACCGTCCGAGGAGGGGCAGCCGAGGAGGGGCAGCAGGCGACAAGGGGCAAACCGACCTTGCTCTGCGCCTTGCAGCGTCTGAAAGTCTCCTTGATAGCCTCCATGATGGAATTCGGCAGCGTGGCGGAGCCTGGGTGCGGATTGGGTGCGATGTTGGTGAGCGGACAGCAACAAGGAGGAGGTCGAGCAGCGATGTCGGGATGGCGAGCAACTTTTTATGTGCGGTCGAGTCGGTGACGCACATCGTTGGGCCGTCGGAGGCGTTGCGGGCGCTGCTGTCGGGTCTGCAGGCGATGCACTCGGCCACCCACCAAAGGCGCTCCGCCATTGGGCGCAGCGGGAGCCACCATTATGCACGTTCCCGCTCCGCCTGCTGCACGTCGGCCCCACCCTGCCGGACTTGCCCAAAGCAGCACCGTCTCAAGAGTCTTTCCTCAACTTTGTTGCTAACGTCTCACTGACTTACTCGCACTCTCCGTCGCCACATCTGCAGTCGCTCCGGCGTGCGTCCGTCCCATGCAATGCACGTCAAGACTAGCCGCCTCCGCCCCCGGATATTCGTGCTGCATGCACTTGTACAAGGCGCGCTACGTCTGTCATGTCATGTCATGCTCATGTCAGTCACGTCAGTGCCGCAGTCAGCCGTGGACACCAAGGAAATCACACGATACAGCATCTGTGTAGCCAAGATGCGTATTGTATTACTGTGTTGCGGACATCAATCTGTAGAGCCATGTGCAAATGGGCAATCTGATGCTCCGGGCTACACCGAAATCCACCCTGAATCAGCCGGAGAACATTGGCCCAGGATTGTCCCAAAGGGTCATGTTGCCCTGCCCATCGGTCTGCAGCCTCTCGGCGGGGTCCAGCCTGGCCAAGGCGACATCCGGTTCCCTGTGATTAATCCTTCTGCGTGCTTCCTATATGGGTATCGCCTGTTTCCGCTCTCCCGCGCTACTAGAACTCGTTTCTCGCCTCTGACGGGCCGCCAGACCAATCCCGGTCAGGCCGCGCATCGGTGAAACGGGTGCCTTGGCCGCCGGACATCAACGTCTTCTCATCCCGCGCCTCCCACGTTGACTCATTGGCGGGATTGGCGGCTCGGGGGCTCAGCGGCGGCCGGTTTTCGCCTGTGTAGTGCATGCCGCCGTTGCCGTGCGTCTTGTCTGGCATCGCCATGCCGGCGAGAGTTCTTGTTACGCCAATGAGGACCACGATGACATAGATGAGGAGGATGCCAGTGGAAATGAGCGCCTCCTGAACAAGGTTGTCGTGAAGCCAGTTCGTAACGTGCTGAACGGCTCCCGACACCTCGTCCGTGGTGACAGATGACGGCGACGCGAGAAACGTGTTCAGATCCGAGTCTCCCGAAATCGATTTGTTGGCGCCCATGCTGAAGGTGTTGTTGTCGAACATGGGGAAGTTGACGTGCGCATGATCGTGCACCCAAGTCAGCCCCTTTTGTACACTCTCAATCTTGATGCCGATGACGCAGTGCAGCACAGTCTTGATCGGGTCCAGGAGAATCGTCCCGTTGAAGACGGTCTCGAGTCCTTTCTCCATGGTGTCAAGGAACATATTGATGGTGTTGTTGACTGCGTCTGTGGCGTTGACGACATAGACGAGCACCTCCTTGTTGATATCGTCGTTGACCCCCTTGACGACGCCGTTGGCATCGGCAGCCCACTGGTCTGACACGTTCTCCAGTGTCTTGACCACCTGGCCTGCGAACTCCCCGACCTCGCCGGCGAGAGCGGGCACCTCCTTCTCCACAACCTTGAGGAGAATGAACTGGCAGAAGCACGAGAAGAAGCCAGCAAGGGCAAGCGACAGCACGAAGATGGCGGGCACCGACGTTGCATAAGCAACGCACCATCGCGTGAGAATCTGCCGGCGTCCGCTGAACCTCGATGCCAGCTTGATACCGCACGTGGCCGTGACGGGTCGCGATGCAATGTAGACGACGTCCATCTGGTCGTACTGGTTCTGCGCAATAAGCTTAGCATTCTTTTGCTGTCGTCGCCACCGCCGTATCTCAAACCAGGCCATTGGAACAATGGCGGCGACGGCCAGTATGGATAGCAACACCACAAAGGCAATCTTGGCTTTCTTGATGAGTTCAAACAAGTGCGTGAAGAAACTGTTCAGCGTGTCGTTATCAGAGCAGAACGTGAGCTTCTGTTTCTGCGCAAGAGGGAACACATCGCGGTCAAACTTGTACGCGCTGAAGCTCTCGTTGATGCCATCGCGGGCCATGTTGAACGGGATCGAGATGGCCTGCTTGGTGAGGTTCTGGACCTGTTCGAAATCGGGGAGATCCTTGTTCAGTTTGCGGATGTCCTGGACGAAGTCGTCCGAGCTGAGGTTGAAGGCCTTTAGTTTGTCTATGGGCTTGGAAAAGTCGATCTTGGGAATATCGGGTGTGAAGTGACCAATGATGGAGTTCTCGATGCCGTCGGTGATTTTGTTGATGGCTTTTGTGAGGTCGCCGGCGATGTCCTTGATTTCAGTTGTCGCCCCATCGATGACCTTGTTGAATGCCTTGGTCGCATCTTCGGTGACAGAGGCGACGACATCAAGACTTCCGTGGATGAGGGCGGTTATTAGGCAGACGTATGTGGCGGTGAGGAAGTTGATGTAGAAGACGATCATGGCCTCGACGCCCTCCAAAACAAGGTCTAGACCCTTGACCATGCCGTGAACGGCCTTTTCGATGCCGCCAGCAGCAAGGTCGTTGACGCCAACTGACAAGTAATGAGGCATCGAAGCCATGGCGCTACCGATATCCTCGACCTTGGTGCAGGCAGAGAGGGCCTTGGTCTTGGCGTTGCCAACATTGTCGTTGAGCTGGGTAATCAAGAGCACCACGCGGACGAGAACGAGTAACAGGAGGATCGTCCAGCGGTTGATCCAAATTTGAGAGAGCCTCGACGGGAGGTTCAGATAGGGCGTGATCGACGAGGAGGTTGCCGCTCGCGCCTGCAAAGTCTTTGGCATTTGGCTACTCTCCAACGAGTCCGAGTCTGAGCGAAGGGAAGTTGGGACATCTGGGTACGACGAGGCCGCCGGGGCGTTGCGCTTCCGCGAGGAAGCAAACATGCTGGATCTATCCATGGCTGGTAAGAAAAGAAAATCTCTATGCGCTGATGACGATTGCGAAAATTGGAGGAGGAGGAGAAGACGACGCAGTATCAGAAGGTCGGGGTACGGCGGTTAACGTTTACACCGGAGTTTGAGTGGCGGGGAAGAATAAAGAGCAGGGGAAAGGTGACGATCACACAAAGGAAAAGAACAATCTCTATTGTCATGAATTCATAGTGATTGTGTGGAGGAAGAGAGGATGCGATATGGAAGGGAACAAAAGAGGCAGCAAGACAATAGGCGACGAAGCAGTTTGAATGCCGCTACACATGGGCAAACAGTCGAACACGGGAGTAAGTGAATGAAAGGCTCAGCCGACTTACCTGAGTCACCGCCACTGCGGCAAGCACCAATAGACTCAGCTTGCGACTGCGCTGCGTTTGTGTTTGGAAACACCCTCGTGCTTATCACGGGGTTGTTGTCGGCGGCTGCTGGCGTTTAAGCGCCGCGATGATGTCGGGCAGCCAGTCAGCGCAGCCGCCGGCTCGCAGTCAGGACGAGGCTCTGACGACAACCAGTCGGTAAACGCCGATCTGGTGTCGGCGCTTGAAGAGTTAAGGCGCGCCGTATCGGTTCAATTTTAGATGCGGGAGACTGGTAGCTTGGGCAATGTTGGGAAAGTGAAGTGAAGTTTGTGGCTCCGTTTGTCGTTGAGCGCCTTGCTCGGAGTTCTTCCTGCCAGCAAACGAATGAGGCAGGATATAACTGGACAGGTGTGGCTAGATGTCCAGTTGTCTAGCGAACAAGCACCTCGGCTTTGTCTTTCGTCGCAAGGCGGGAGAAGCGCGTCGGAGCGAGACGGTTCCCGACCTCTCAAGGCATCGCCATGGAGGCGAGAGGCGACCTTGCCTGGCATTTTAATGGTCGTCGAGCGCTCGACGTCCGGTGCCAGAGACGCACGTTGACGACATGGCCGTGGCCCGGTGGCCAGTCGATAACCCGTTTCGGCATCGTGGGTGCAGGTCCGCAAGGGCTGTTCACGAAGAGCCATGTGTTGACGCTGGGGATTGGTGCGCCGAAGACTGGCTGTGGTCTGCGTTCCCGGTTTCTGCGGCGGCGGTCATGGGCGGACAGCAAAGAGTTGACGGAGTGGCGCGCCAAACAGCGACCGGGCCCCTGGCGGGACAGGGCAGCCACCAGCTAAGGTCAGGTGCTAATACCCGACCTAACAATGGCGGTCCACCCTGTGGAAGGGGTCCGGGGCCGTCTCCCTCGGGCCGCCACTCCACTGTGGCTCTCGTCTAGGCTTCTCCAGCCGTCACCACCTCACTTGCCTGGCTTTGCCTGGAACTCACTTCAGTCCACAGCCCTCCACCCAACTACACTGTACCTACCAGTCATCTAGTGTCTCCCCGCCTCCACGCCTGCAATAGTACCAAAGCAGTGCCGCAGCACAAGCGCCACCGTCACAGTGATCGTCGTCCCTGCAGCGCTTCTTTCGCGGCCACGAGGCGAACAGGCCCCCCAAAACCTGTTTTTCTCCACAGAAGCCAGAGCTGAATAGCCGCTTCTTGCCCTTGGTTTGTTGATCCAAGCCCTGTCGGCTTGAGGAATCAAGAGCTCGCTTTAGCCACGCCTTTTCCGCCGCAGGGGAGGTCCTGACTGTGGGCGTGTGACGTCAGCGCCCGAAAAGCCGCAACAGCTCCCACGATGCCATCCACGGCATCATGGGTGTGCTCGAGTTTGCAGCTGCGTTTCTCCCGCCAGCCATGCTGGGCTGGGCGGCCTCCATCGTGCATCAAATGCGAGCACAAGTGCCAGTCCCCACCAAACCTTGGACCGTCGACGTGGTTTGGAACGCCCTCGGCGGCTGCAAAATCATTGGCTGTCAGCGGTCGGCTTGTTAGCCCTGGCGTGATGCTCGCCCCCATCGCCGAGACCCCCAGGCCCAAATGTTACGCAGGATCCAGCGCGAAGGGACGGCTCCATGGCACCCACCTCGGGCTCTTGTCTAAAGTAAGTATTATGTGCACTCTTCAACAGCGGCGGTAAGACAGGCGGCATGTGTCACAGGTCCACGGTACGCAGAATGGAGCAGTATAAACAGGCGAAGCAGCCCTCCATCACACTGGCAAAAGGAGCCCTCACAGTCCTCCTGTCCATGTAATGCAAGCACGACCACGTGGAAGCGCCACCGAGACAGGTGTCTGTCATGCTCGGCCCTGCATCTGTCGGCAGCGTCAACATCCGTCGCGCCATCCCGTACCTCGCACGTCTTCGCCCACAGAGTCTGCGACGCACAACCGCTCCACGACAACATGGCCTGCAAACATTCACCGACATCTCGCACAGGTATATCAGGACGATATGTAAAATGAACGAATCTTCAATTTGATCTCACAACAACAGTGCTTGGGCGTGCGGCGTCCCAATCTCCTGACCGCGCTAGCTGCAGCATCCACGATGAGGGCATAGCAACTGAGCCTGCCGACACGTTCCATAAGGTCATGTTCAGCAGAAGGGTCCGGCGTTGCCCGCCCCAAACTAATTGTCATCAGCAAAAGTGCCTGCGTCGCTATCATCCGGATCGGTTGGCCGCATGTCCACGTCATTCGCCCTCCTCCCGGGAGCACATGGTGGCCACCTGGCGCGGAGGAGCGGCGTATGACTCTCTATCTCAACTTGAACGCTGCTGAGCGAAGGGCGAGTACGCATTCAAATCAGAGTCCCAAGTCTCGTCTGCCCGAAAAGATTCTCCACTGTGTATCCGGAACGCCAGCATCGTCATCATTCTTGCCGAAAAGTGGCGGGTTCGCATCGCCTAAGCCGAGCCGAACGTGTTCTCGCCCGAGTAGGTGATGTAGAGGAACCTGTGCGAAAGCGGTCAGCAGCCATGGCGAGTCCGAGTATGAGAAGAAATGTGGCGACACGTACCCGTCTTCGTCCTTGTGCTCCTCGTAGATGCTGCTCATCAAGGCAGCTGTCGGAGGGAGGACTTCATCGACGAAGATGAAGATGGCCTTCTCGGGAGACAGCTTGATCCTCTTGCGGATGACGTAGACGAACTGGCCAACCGTCAAGTCGGACGGCACCAGGTACTTCTTCTTGTCGATGGTGGCGATGTCGCTCTTCTCGACCTTTTCGCAGATGACCTATAGCGAGGCGATGGTCAGCTTCACGGTCAGGTTGAGACTCGAGGCACAGGCACGAGTACTTACTGGGATGCGGTCCGCATACTTCTGTCGAATGCGCTCGGCCTCAGCCTTGCGCTTCTCGAAAGGGTGCTCGTCCTTGAACTTGCTGCGCATGGTTGCGGTCTCGGAAAACGATGTAGTAGCTGTTGTGCGTGCGGAGATGAGGCTGTTCGCTGTCGGGCGGGCAGAGTGTGGATGCAGGAGGAAACTGGAGTCCCCCGAGAGATGATGCCGCGCCGGATGTGTTTGCTGCGTAATCAGAATCGGGCAGGGTTGAGGTGGGAAGCAGGAGAGAGAATGAGAGGGGCGGGCTCGGTCGGTGACGATGCAGAGTGACTGGGCGGGAGGCGGTGGGAGGGGGGAAGGCTGGGTGCTTGGGTGTGTCACCATGCGGCAGCAGGCACCACCACCCTCAGATTCACACCGCAGCCCAGGCCAGGCAGGCGCCGGCTCCGTCAGCGTCAGCGGCGACGGGACGCTTTTGAGCCAGCGCAGCACGAGCGCGAGGCGACCCTCGAGACGCACGGGGCGGCGAGCCAGGTACTTATTTGTGGGTGTGGATTGGCAGAGAATCCAAGTACCTGCCGTCCCGGCTTGCAGGTCCTCGCCCCGGCACGGGACCCGACGCGCGGGGTGGAGGGGACTCGCGCTAGACCGCCTTCGGCTGGAAGCTTCGCCGCGCAGAGGGTGGTGAATCACAAAGCTGCGGCAGGTGATGCAAGCGCAAAGGGTGCCTGACTTGCGCTGTGCGGTCACCGGCCGGGGCGGGTACGGTACCTGTTGACTGACGAGGCCACGGGATGCTCGGCCGTCTTCCATTGCCTTCGTCTTTCGCCATGGCGAGCGAGGAGCGCCCGAAGAAGCCGCCGCAGCAAGCTTTGCCCTTGCACCTGCGAGCGTCCATAGATCAGCATTTTACCCAAGGTGCACGACAGCGCAGGACGGGGTCGCCCGAGAAGGACAGCAAACTCTCTGGGCGCTCGCCGCACACGCTGTCCATCCCCGGCGGTAGTCGAACCCGCCTCCGTGAGGTTCCACGGGCAGATATGCGCACAAGGCACAGTACGCGCCGCGATTGAGTTCAAAACTCTTTCTTCCAAACAACAGGCAGGAACATGAGGCTGTCGGGACTCTAAAGTCACGACGAGGGGAGTTCTGGTGGAGGGGCAAGGGCATGTATACATTTTACGAAGGCACTTGGGCTCTTGCGACTTACCCTGTGCCTCGGCCCTCGAAAGACCGGCCAAGCTACAACTTCTCCGCCGTCCAGCATCATTGCCATGTAGCCCGTGCTCGGCATCTTCGCCGGCAGCTGGATTCCCAGTGCCGCTGTCCAGCCATCTCCATCGCGCGCGAGACACGCCCGCGGTGTTGCGGTGCGGCACGGCTCCCTGGCAGCGAAAAGAGACGCCGAGTCGGCGGCAACCACGCCACTTGGTGGAGCGCTTGACGGGCCCGGTTGCAGCCGCGACCTTTCGGCCGTCCGTCATGTCATCCCACTGCTGGTCTCGACAACATTCGACTGCCAGCTCCAGCATCCGCCATCACCACCCGACTCCGCCCGGCCGCGCAAGCTGTAGTCCGTGGTCGGCTCTGGCAGCCCCTTTTTGACTACCCTTTATAACGTAGCGGGTGCCCGTTGCGTCCGTCGTCCGCGATCCAGCTTTTGACGGCCTGCACCGGCACGGCAAACCTGCCTTCCATCCTTCCCTCGCTTGCGTTCAGCAACCACCGACCCCAATCATGGCCGCGGCAGGGCGACAGGCTCAGCGCGTTGCTGCACAGCTTACGCCTCGTCTCCCCATCGCGGCACCGCGACTTGCCAGGCGGCAATTGGGTTCGGCCCGCCGCGCCGCGTCGACCTCGACTGGGCGCACGACGAAAGGCCGTGCCTCAACTCTTCCGCTGTGGCTCGCGGCCGCGGCAGTGGGCTTTGCTGCTCCCCTGGCCCTGCAGTTGGTATGACACCCCAATGCGCTGGCCCGATAGCCTCGCCCTGGCTGACGCTGACCCGGACTTCCTCCTCCCCCGCGCAGACTTCCGCGGAAAGCGTCCGGCTCGATAATACCTCCCTCGCCGACAAGGATGCCCAGAAGAAGCGCGAGAGCGGCGTCACCGACGACTCGCCGATGCGGCTGCGCATGGAAAAGTTCATCAAGGAGCAGCAGCAGATCATCGTCAAGGAGCTGGAGAGGGTTGACGGCAAAAAGTTTCGCAAGGACGAGTGGAACCGTCCCAATGGCGGCGGCGGCATAACCTGCGTTCTGCAGGACGGTAATGTCTTTGAGAAGGCCGGCGTTGGTGTCAGCGTCGTTTACGGTGCCCTTCCCAAGCCCGCCATCCAGAAGATGCACGCCGACCACAAGACGCTCGACCCCAGCGTCGAGTCCCTCGACTTCTTCGCCGCGGGCCTGAGCATGGTGCTGCACCCCAAGAACCCCATGGCCCCGACCGTCCACCTCAACTACCGCTACTTTGAAACGGCCAACCCCGACGGCACCTCTCAGGCCTGGTGGTTCGGCGGCGGCAGCGACCTGACACCCTCGTACTTGTTCGACGAGGACGCCATCCATTTCCACAAGACGCTCAAGGAGGCTTGCGACGCACACGACAAGACCTACTACCCTCGCTTCAAGAAGTGGTGCGACAAGTACTTTTTCAACAAGCATCGCGGGGAGTGCCGTGGTATCGGTGGTATTTTCTTCGACGATCTCGACGAGTCGGAGCGCGACCGCGAGAACACCTTCGCCTTTATCCAGGACTGCCTCAAGTCCTTCCTGCCCTCGTACATCCCAATTATCGAGAAGCGCAAGGACATGCCGTTTACGGAGAAGGAAAAGGAGTGGCAGCAGATTCGCCGGGGTAAGTACGTCGAGTTCAATCTTGTCCACGACCGCGGCACAGCCTTTGGCCTCAACACCCCCGGATCTCGCGTCGAGAGCATCCTCATGAGCCTACCCCTGACGGCGAGCTGGAGGTACATGCACGAGCCGGAGCCCAAGAGCCGCGAACAGCGGTTGGTAGACGTGCTGAAGGACCCCAAGGAGTGGGTTTAAGGCGATTGTGGCCCATACCATGGTGTACGCGACTGGCCTGTGCCACGACATTGTCACCGGAGCATGCTTGTGTATCGATAAAAAAAGTCACCCAAAGAAGAAGGGACGGGGAAGCTAGATGTCTAAAAGTGTACAATTGGCTGGCAGCCTCATGCCCTTGGGTAGGAGCTGGCATGTGCGAATAATCCCCGAGGTTGCCGAAGCATGTATGAGTACTAGGTATCAATCGAACAACAGTGGTTTTACCTACGAAGTGTTGGATTTGGTCGCGCTCGTGTGTCACTTCTTTGAGCTCTGGGCTATTGGCGGACGGTTTGTAGGAGAAGGGCAAGTCGCGACCTCAACCTCTTGTTGAATCACGCTGCCGCCGAAAAGCAACTCCACAATTTATTTCACATCACTCACTCTCATCTACCACCACAACTCACGGCCGGTGCACTCTGGCAAAGCCACGTCTCAAGCCAGCCATGGCATAAATCAAACCATCTGGTCGTGAGGAATACCATGGGACTCTGATCGCGGCCAGTACGATTAGAGCATGTCGACGCAACGCCTCCCGGCTCAGCGCCAGCTCCTCGAATCCCTCGTCGTCTCCTTGTCGAGCGCGCCGCCTTCCTTGGCACCGTCACAGGCTGACAAGCACGTTGCCGATGCCAGCGATGCAGAGGAAGTCGACCGTCGCCGCCGTCTGCTTTTGACGCTCCACGTGCTGTTCCCAGACATGGTACTGTCGGCCCTGGACCTCCTCGACCGCAAGTTGGTGACGCGCTTCGTCGCAGCCGTGGAGCCCGAGGCGTCGCGCGGTGTTGAGACCGAAGACCCAAGCGCGGGTCTTGCTGAACATGCGGAGAATGCTGGAGAGCCCGCTTCGCCCACAGGACGGTGCCAGGCTGCTGGACGACACTCGACGGGATGCGTGCAGGCTTACTTCGTCCGCTCACTTGCCTCTACCCTGAGTCGGCGCGGCGGCCGGGATCCCCCGTCCGCGCCGAGGACTTACGCCGTGCACCTAGACGCATGGAGCTGCTCATGCGCGGGCTTCGCCCTCGATGCGTTCGCCCACTACGACGGGGCGGCGGCGCAGGAGGGGCACGCGAGTACGCCTCCGGCAGCCTCTCCTCAACAACCCGGGCCGATGGAACAACAGCCCCAAAGGACGCAAGCGGCTGGACAAGGTTGGCTGTTTGGAGGTATGAGCTCGGATGGGCGCCCTGGCCATGGGGAGGACGTGCCTTGCTGCAAGCATCTCCTGGCCTGTCTCCTTGCGGAGACCTGGGGAAGTCTGCTTGGCACCCGAGTTGACGAGAAGAGGGCTACAAGGGAAGAAATGGCCGGAATGATGGCAATCGTCTAGCATAGAAACCAGCTGAAACAAACAGCGCGCAGACTCTGCAGCTTATGCCACGATCTTGGTCACACACACACACCAGGGAAGGCGAGCTTGCAAGTACGCAACGATGCCGCCGTTGCGCTTGTCTGTCTTTGGTTCTGCTCTACAAGGTTTCCGTGATAGCCCATGTACAATACATATGGACATAGTGCCAGGCATGGCCCTCCGTTCGCCCGCCACAGAGCGGATGTGGAACATGTCCAGGTTGTCCATCCTTTGCTTCATAAAGCACCCTCGGCAGCACTGCTTATTTCTTCTTGTCCTTCCCTTCCTTATCCTTGTCGCCGTCCTTGGTCTCACCATTGACCCCATTGGCGCCTGCCTCCTTCTTCTCATCCTTCCCGTTCCCTTCCTCCTTCTTGGCATCCTTGTCCTCTTGCTGCTGTCGGTTTTGGATCTTGTTTTCTATCAAGTCGTGGAAGGCAGTGATGGCGCGTATCAGGCTGCTGAGGTAGATGGCCATGAGCTGGTCGTTGGTCTTGATGCTCATGGCGTGTGCCAGTTCTCCACCACCAGTCTTGCCATCGCTCTCCGGCGTGGACAGGTTGGGGAGCAGGTTGAAGACGTCCTGAAGGTTGCCGAGAATGGCATGATTGACCGGGAGTTGTCCGTCAAGAACCTTTTGCAGGTAGGCACCGATGTCACGCAGCCGCAGGTGCAGACCCTGGAGCGACTGAAGCTGGTTGGTGACGCGAGTGGAAAGTGTGCCAACAGCGACGTCTCGAATATCTCGTAGCAAGTGCTCGACACCAATCTCCTCGGCTTCCTCGGCTTCGATGATGGACGGAGTGTGGACGAAGGTTCTCGAAGTAGTCGTACCGTCCTATGGAACAACGAATGTTAGCAGGCTGGCGCCGTCAGTCGAGGATGGTGGTTCCGGCTTACGTCTTTGATCTCCTCGACAGCAAAGTAGGCGTCTGTAGGGACGCCCGACTCCTTGGGCTGTACGTCGATGATGACAAGGAGAGGGTTCGGCGTGTAGCGCTTGAAAAGATCGTTTATCTCGAGGTCAGAGGCGCGAAGCTTGGGACCGGAATGGTACCAGCCTATCAGCTTCTCGCGGGCGTTGACTTTCTTGAACATGTCGTTCATGGACTCGACGTAGTTGTGGTCCAAGAACCAGACCGAGGGATCTTTCTCATCTTCCTCGAAGGGGACTGTTGAAGCAGTCGTGTCAGAGACGATGAATCACCAAAGGCGGGAGCACGAATGCGCGACGTACCAGCGAAGCTGTTGGACACTCTGACATTCTTGCCATCATTCTGACCGAGCAAAACACCGACAACTCGCCGTTTCGTTTTGTTCTGAACGGTTCGGTTGTAGTGGTCGACTGCGGAGAGGAGGACGAGGGGGGCGACGGTGACATTCCGGGTGACGAGGGAGAGCGTCTCAGCGGTCGTGGTAGGCATCCTGAGCACGGTTTGGCAATACCGTTGCCTGGTCGGATAGATGTGTGCGATGAAGGGTTACGGAAGCTTTGTGGGCGTCGGGACGCTCGATTCTATCGCGATAGAGGAGCCGTTGCCGTCGATGCGTATGCCCACGGTTGCCTTGCTGCAGAGATGCAAGTCTGGGATTTCAACCATGTGCAGTCGGCAGACCAGACACGAGATATGAAAAGAGTGGTTTCCGGCTGGTAGACGGGTGCGGAGCGTCCCCTGTGATGATGCGAATGGCGAGAAAGCTGGGAAGTCTGGAATTGAGAGGGTGATGCGATGGCCAGGCACACAGGTTGACGATAGCTTAGCTCACCCTCGTCAGTTGGTGGTGGTCGGTGGAGCCTGGGCTCTGCTCACCTAATGCGGTACGTACCGGGCATAACGGGAGAACTTTTGGGGGGGGGGGGGGTCACGTGCTTTGGTGGAAGAAGTGGCAGTCCGTCTGTCCCGACATGGCGTGCGTGGTCTTGGCCATGAGCCACTTGAGAATGGAACCTGAGGAGAAGGATGCCTCTAGCAGGCGTGCAGCGTACCCGACAAGATGGCCAAGCAAATCCCTTGGAGAGGCCGGCGGTTGCACGTCTTGCCCAAGACACGCTGACTACGAAGTACGAGTGCCTACGGAGTACATACGTACGACATCGCCAATGCAGGTGGGTTCACCCAACGGCGCTCTGGCCTGCGGTGCAGGGGCTGGAGGAGGCCTTGTTTATAGCTTTGAATGTGTCATTTGCCAGGTGCCTGGCTCGAATGAAAGGACGACAAATTATACCGTGAGACGTCAGGCCGGTAAGTGGTGCGTGCGAGGAGAGGTCGCCCGAGCTTGTGAGTGCGAGCATTTTTTATCTTCGCACAGCTACGCGCGGAGAAGGTTAAGCAAGACGATCAAACGCATGAGCGTCGCGTCTGGTGGACCTCCAGGGCGGCAGCCTTTTGTGAGATGCCGACCACGGAGCAAGGGAAGCGAATCGCCAGGCCGCCCACCGACACGCCAGCGCATGCGCCGGCCACAGCTGCCTTCGGCCCGGCGGCGTCGGCACCAGCACCTCAGCCAAGGCAGCTGGCAGAGGACAGCCGGCGCCAGGTGCGACAACGTTACCTTTCGGCCGGCTGGTGCTGGGCCTCTGATGAGAGCAACCGGACTTGAACGGCCCGCACAACCCAGCGTTTGCGAGACCAGAGTCCCCTATACTTGTCCCTGCCGCGGCGGCCCCGCCGTGGGCGCTGCTGGTAGCCGGTACTCGGTACCTTGGGTGGCAGCAGCCAGCGCGTGGTGCCCCGCAGATCTGTTGCCGCAACCTGGAACGTCGACAGATGCAGCCAATCAGCCCCCGGCCTCGGCTGGAGCTCTGGTTGTCTGGGCAGAAAAACACTGGGGAAGCATCGCGCTGGCGAGCCGAGTCCCCTGTGGCCGACAGAGCCATGGAAGCGGCGCTGATTGCTGGGCTCGCTCCCCAGTGTCCACCGAAAACTCTCCAGGATTCCTGTCCGGGCGTGTCCACCTTTTGCCGACAATTCCTCTTACTCTCTCTTCTCTCGTCCGCCTCGTCTTCATACCGCTTCGCTCTCCGCCCAGGCCCTCGCCTCTCTGCTCCCCCTCCTCGGCCTCCGCTCGCCTACCCACCGCGATCGAGCCCTGCGAGTTTCGCCTCCCAATTGGTCCCAGCTCACCGGCTCGTTGACACAAGCAAACAACCCTCCACGCACCACCCCCAAGACCGCAGCCATGGGTTTCGTCGAGGATGAGCTCAAGCAGCTCAAGGATGTCATCTCCAACCTTGACTCGCGGATCAAGAGCCTCGAGCAGCGCGCTACCGGGTCGGCCCCTACCACCCAGGAGATTCGCATGATTCTCATCGGCCCTCCTGGCGCAGGTGCGCATTCGCCCCTCCGGAGGCCCTTCCGCGCTCCCATCCCGCGAGCCACCCACCGGCTTGTGCTGACTACCTGAGTTTGTAGGCAAGGGAACCCAGGCGCCCAAGATCAAGGAGCGCTTCTCCTGCTGCCATCTGGTGAGTTCGCATAGCCCGCGAAAGCCGTTTCGCGGGCCCCCAAAGTCGCGCGATTTCGCTGACCCGGTAAACCGCGCAGGCCACCGGCGACATGCTGCGCTCCCAGGTCGCCAAGAAGACCCCTCTCGGTCGCGAGGCGAAGAAGATCATGGACCAGGGCGGCCTTGTCAGCGATGACATAGTCATCGGCATGATCAAGGAGGAGCTGGACAACAACAAGGAGTGCCAGGGCGGGTGCGTGCTAGGCCCATCTCGGACCTTGAATCCCCTTGCCCCGACTTACACGTGCTGATGCTGGCGCAGCTTTATCCTTGATGGCTTCCCCCGCACCGTCCCCCAGGCAGAGGGCCTCGACGCCATGCTCGGGGAGCGCAACAAGAAGCTCCAGCACGCCGTCGAGCTCCAGATCGACGACTCCCTGCTCGTCGCGCGCATTACCGGGCGTCTAATCCACCCGGCTTCGGGCCGCTCCTACCACAGCACCTTCAACCCTCCCAAGGAGCCCATGAAGGACGACATCACTGGCGAGCCTCTCATCCAGCGCAGCGACGACACCGCCGACGCGCTCAAGAAGCGCCTCGGCACCTACCACAAGCAGACCGCCCCGGTCGTTGACTACTACCGCAAGAACGGCATCTGGCAGGGCATTGACGCCAGCCAGCAGCCCGGCCAGGTTTGGAAGAACATGTTGGATATTCTTGAGGGCGACAAGAAGGGCCACGCCACGGGCATCCTTTCCCGGATTGCTGGCAAGAGCTGAAGCGCTACCCTGCCGACCGTTGGATGGATGAATGTATCACCATGACAAAAAAAAAAATGGGGAGCGGCTTGGGACAGACTCGACGGCCAGCTCAAGACGGGCCGTCGCAAGTTTTCCCACGGCCCTTATAACCCCGTGTAGACTTAGAAGCAGTCGAACGAATGTATGTATGTATCAATACATAACAGCCTTTCCGGCTCTCGCTGTAGCGAGCTGGTGGCAGAACCTACAACAGTCTTGGGATATTGCGTGACGATGGTGGGCATCCGCTGATATAAGAGTTTGTCTAAGCCAACTACCCTAGTAGTGGTCGGATATCTGTGGAGGGATGTGTATCTGCGTGTGCTGCTGTCTACCTTTTGCAGCTCATCTTCTCTGGTCGGCCTCACCGCCGCCATCTTCGCCCAACTGCTGCCGCTGTGTCCGGCCAATCTCCCAAGTTTAGACGAGGCAGGCGTGTGTTTCCGACGACGGCTACGGAGAAGAAGTTGAAGAAAAGCCAAGTGCGTCATCCAAAATAGCTCCTCGCAATGCTGGGTACAGTACTCGAGAAAAAAAAGGGAGGAAAAGGGCAAAACCACTTTGGGCTCGCAAGAAACCCCCGCCAGGAGAACACAGATCCATGAGGGCATACAAGGTATTAAAGGTGATGTACGTGTCGTGGGCACGCCTATGTACGTGCAGCCTGCTGCCCCCAGGCAGGATGCGCCATCTCGTCTGCCGGGTCGAGGCGGGACGGGGGAGCTCAACCCGTGAGATCCTATCTCCTCGGGGTAGCTGATCACAATCAGGTCAGTAGAGGTAGAGCAAGTCGCGTTGGCGCAACTGACCATTGACCATCTGCCTCTGCTTGTTCAGCCAGCTCCGCGGCGCATCGTGCCTTCGTTGCAGTACGACATGGTTGCTCTGCAGCCGGCTGGTGAGGTCATACCAAGCCGTAGCGATCAACGCGTTCTCTCTTTGGAGGTTCTTGATGACCTGATCGGTCGCAGCCTGTCCATGGATTGAGTCAGCGGCTAGCATGCATGGCGTATCGCAGGCGTGCTCTCTGATTCCGAAACGGCCTGCATACCTTTTGCGCGGCAGAAATCTGGCCCCCTTGAACTGCCTTGAGTTTGTTTTGCAGATCGAGCTTCTCTTGTTCCGATTGCTCGAGTTGCTGTGAAAGATCGAGTCAGACCCGGCAAAATAATGCATGACAGACGAGGCGCTGAGCAATAAGCCTGCTCAGCACGGCTCGACGGCAACTCACCTGCTTGCGCTCCTTGAGGCGGGCTCGGAGCTTCTCGATCTTCTCGCCAGACTTCTTAGCAGCCTCCGACATGTCCGCGTCGGCAGTTTCCGTCGGGACCGCGGACGTGTCGTGCAGCTCTTTGCCTTCTTCAATCTCCTTGCGAAGCTTGTCCTTGGCTAGGAGTGCTTCGATCAGCTGCGACTTTTGCGCATCCCTCTCGCTCACTACGAAGCTGAACTCGTCCCGCAGCCGGTCTAGCTCCGCCTTGAGCGACTCGGAGATCAGCTTGTCGGTGCTCTTCAGCTCGTCGATAGCCGCAGTGCCTCCCTTTTCGGCGGCCGACGCCTGAGCTCTTGCGCTGATGAGCTCCCGTTCCATGTCGGCAACTCTCGTTTGCAGGTCGGTGGAACGCTTAACTGTCTCTTCAAGGCTTGATTGAGACTGTACAAGCTGCGTCCGCAGGTTGATGAAAGCTTGCGAGCTATTGTGGCAACATGTCAGCACGTAAAGCTTCTACATCGAGCGACCTGGGACAAAGTCAGAACTTACCCTTCGCCTGTGGCATCGGCCATCAGCGCCTTGATTTGCTCCTGAGTTACAATGTGCTTCTCGAAAATTTCGTTGAAGTTTTGCTGAAGTCTGTCCCTTTGGCGTCTTTGGTCCTCCAACTCGCGTCGGAGCAACGCGGCATCTCCGGTCGAACCAAAAGTCTTGCGGAGCAACTCATTCTCAGCTTTGAGCCGTGACAACTCCAGTGGCACGTTCGTCTGCCCCTCGTCCCCGGCGGCGTTGTTGAGCTCGTCTTCCAGGTTGAATGTCCCTGACTCGGAGCCGAGGCCATCGCCTTGCGGAGCGCCGCCGCCACCTTGATGCAATTGCTCCTGCAAATCCTGGATGAAGTGCTCGTCGTGGGTTCGTTGTGCCTTCAATCGCACCAACTCTTCCTCAAGTGCCGCGACGTCTTTGATGAGCTGATTCTTCTGGTTCCGCTCATCCCACAGGTGTTGCTCTGACTGGGTGATCATCTTGGTGAGCTCGTCCTCGGCTTTCCTCGTACGGTCCCCCCGCTCTCTGTCGCTCACGAGAGACCGCAGCTGTTCCTGAAGCTCGGCTCGCTCATACTGGAGATTCTGCACCTCCTTCACCAGGCCCTGCTGCGCCTCCAGCTTTTGCTTGTAGCGCTCGGCGGTGTTGGCCTTCTTTTCAAGCTCGTCGGCCTTGTGCTTCCACTCGGTGACCTGGTCCCGGAGCTCGTCGGCCTGCATGCTCTTCTGGCTCAGGCGCTGCACCTCGGTCTCGAGCTGTGCCTTAATTCTGTCATGATTTCGTATGGTCTCCTCGTTTCTGGCGATAATTTCCATCTGCTCGTGCACTTGTGCTTCGAGAAGCTTGATGGCCTCCGCGCTGTTGGCTCCATCTTGAGTGGCCTTGCGGAGAATCTCGAGCTCGCGGTCATTCTTCTCCTTTTCGTACTTGAGCTCTTCGTGGCTCTGCTGAAGGTGCTCCAGCCGCGTGATGTAGTCGGACAGGGTCTTCTTGGCGCCATCGAGCTGTTGGCGGAGAGCCGCATTCTGCTCCTCGACGAGTAGGTCGATATCTCGGGCCTCCATGACAGCATCAATGGCCTCGTCGAGGTCGTCGTCATCCTTGTAATTGGCAATATCCTGCTGCATGGCGCGAATGATCTGCATAATTTCGGCCTGGTTCTCACGGTCTAAGCCGTTCTGTATCCTGGGCACGTACTTTGCATTGTCAGGCCCCATGGCGGCTGCCGAAACCATGACTGCGAGGAGCTATGGCCGAGAGGAAGTGTGTGTGTGAGCACGTGTCGAAAGTGATGTGGCCGCACATTTGCGTCGGAGGACCGAGACCTACCTGGCTGATGCCCTGTGCGTCGGGGTTCTCGGCCACCGCGTGGTAGTCGAATTTCTTTGCCTGACAGCCCAGTTCTGGGACCTGCCGGCGGATGAACCGAAACAGGCCCTTATACACGGCCTGGATGTTGCGCTTGTTGGTTAGGTACTTGGAAGCTCCCTGGCTAGATTCGAGGTGGGAAGGATCGAACTCCGTGTCGAGCTCATGGAGGATGTGTGCGAGCACGACGCCATTGTTGAGCTCGTCGAGGGACTCGGCCGTTCGGTCTAGGTCAAATACACGATTGACCTGAAGAGGGGTGTCATGAGTTAGCGAGGCTGCGCGAGGGTCAAGTCGTCATCAGTGGAGGGACGAACGGCCTTCAACAGCGCGGCCTGCGCGCGGTTGCTGTAGGCAGGCATCGTTCTGGACGCCGAAGGCGAGGCGGTCGGCGCCATGTGCGACGGAGGACAAGTGTCGAGGGCGAGGGAGCCGTCACGGTGCAGGGACTCGCTGTCGAGGGGCTTGCTGTCGAAGGAGAGATACCGCCGGCCGGTGCAGCATCATCGGTCGCGGGCGCATCGGCCTCGGTCTGAGGAGGGCGAGACAAGCCGAGCAGGAGTGCCGCAGAGGAGCAGGTAGGTAGGTAGGTGGTTAGGTAGGTGCCTTGACTGCTCAGGTAGGTCGGGCCGCCTCTCGCACGGCAGGTGTTGATTCGAGTCTTGGTCTCGGGTGAATCTAGAGTTTAATATTAAAACGCGTTGCCGAGGACAGCTCCATTTGCCTGTTTGGGTCGGGCTGGTGTCCCCTGTGTCCCCTGACCAGCAGCAGCACGGTCGTGTGTGGGGCGACGATTGGGCTGCCTGAATGACGGCGAGGGCCCAAGTACCTACCTACCTAGTAGTAATCGAACCTCGTACATAATGGTATGTACTGCTACCCACCATACTGCGTAAATGCGGAGTACATGAACGCCCGTCAGACAGCTTCACGCGCTCGTACCTGGTGATTAAGGGGGGGAAAGAACCTGAAACGAGCATGGCTCCCGCGACAATGCCGTCGTCGGCCTCCCGTTCGGCAGCTCTCCTGTCTCGCCGCAAAGACACAGGATGTCAACGCAAAGAACCCGACTCCGTATAAGCACGGCAGTACCCGCTTCAGCCGACAGATCCATTTGTTCTGAAGATCTTAATCCGTACGCGTGTCTTCAGCGACTCTATTGTCTTCGGCACCTCTTGTCCTGGATACATGCCCTCTGCCTGTTTGGCCGCGTCTCAGACTTCGGCCCAGTCCAGGGATCATGGGTCTGCGATTTAACGGCCACCATTTCCCGCTCGCCGCCGCCCCTTTCGTGTTTGGCTTTGCGCAAGACCATGTGCCATCCCATGCACTGGATGAGATGGCCTGTCGCCCGCGTGGCGACCCGACCTGCATCGACGCCCGCGCCATACTCTGGATCAGCATTTGTGTTGGGCAAGTGCCAGATCGTACACGCAGTCTATTTTTGTCTGGCTACTTCATAGAAGCGATGGTAATCGCCGTTCAATTGGCGGGTATCATTGATCGAAAGAGATAAAGAGAGGGGGACAAAAGACCCGGGAAAAGACAAAGCGATCGCTTCCTTCGACGTTTCGCGTTGATAAAGCGCATTTCATAACTCCCTGCCTGCATCGCCGCCCACGGCCACGCACTCCACCTTCCTCAGTATGGCTATCAGTCTTGGCTAGATACCATCTCATCATTGTCGACCCGCATCTTGTACTGGCTCTTGCTAGCCGTGACCTGTACGCTTTCCAGGACCTTTACGGGTGCAACGACGGCAAAGCCCCTACCATCATGTCAGTCTCGAGAAATTGGCAGCGTGACTGCCATCAATTCATCGACCTACTTGATGATTGTATAAACGTGAGTGATCTTGCCGCCGCCCTTGACTATCGATGCCTTGGCGTCGTTGACCACAGAGTCGGGCGTGTTCGGATCATCGAACCAAATAATTGCGGACCGCTTCTGGTCAACCGCCAGAGCTCCAGGGAGGATGGCGAGTGCGGCGACGAGCTGGGGGAACAGTCTCATAGTGAAGGCTGTAGGTGTAGCTGACGCAAGTTGAGTCTATCGGCGAGGAGCGGGCGGCTCGTTGGATGGCACGCGTGCCTTGTATTTCGGGTTCGAAGGTTCGAGGAGCAGGTTGCACAAGCGAGTATGACTGTATGCTGAACTCCGCTGCAAAAGCGAGATGCCTAGGCGAGTCGTCCGGGAGGGGTGGGATGGGAGGATATAAGGGCACGCCGTAGTGACGGTGCTGGTGGTGTCAAGGGAAGCGAAGGTGATGAAGGAGGCCAGGCGGAGGCGCTAGCCCAAGTCCCTCAGTGGCTCGGAGATCATTCCACCAAGTGTTCCATGCTGTGGCCTGCCTGCGCGGCTGGCTGAGGTACTCAGTACCTAATGTCACCGCGCCGCTCCGTCATACTCAAAGTTTATCTACTTCCCGGCGATCTGAGTCGCTGTGGGGGAGGAGCCTGTGGTGGGACCATTCCCGATTTGGGAGGTCATGAATGACGAGTCAATGAGACTCAATCAAGTTGAGTTTGTTCCACCAAAGCCCCGGCTTCACATCCCCCCTCTCACCTGAGGAAGCTGCCGCCAACTGGCTTCACAGATGCCACGGTGTGTTACAAGTCACCTTGCTCGGGGCACGCCGGTTACAAGTCACGAGCGACAAGATACGTTGTCCGCGACCGCAGCAAATGCCGGTCTTTTCTGCGACCGCATCTGGCTATAAATTGTACAGAGTATCCCATGGTGGTGCGTGGCTTGCCAAGCTTCCTGGACTGCCGAACTTGGACGCGCAAGGCAGGGACTGCAATAAACGCATGATGGCGGACCTACCCGATCGTCCATAGCGCCCTGGCCAAGTGTAACCCTCGTTGAGGAAGCTGCTTATTCAGTGGATCTTCTCGAATGAAGACTAAACACGTCCCTGTTTGGGCTCGTCGTGTTCGGGTGACAGCGATAGCCTCCAGGGCCCGGCCTGCGTTTCTTGCGCCTGTCATTCCAGGCAGCTGGGTCGGATGACGCAAACCCAAATCTGGAAGTGCAACTCTACAGCAGCACTGGTTGGGGGCGTCGTTGCAAGCGCTACTTACTTTGCTGCCTGATGTCTCCTCGTGCTGCTTCATCACGGAACGCGACCGACCCGCCATTGTAGACTCATGAATGGATTGCCAGCCTGCGACGACTCAGTTCGTGCACGGATCGAAATGCAGCTACAAACCCCTTCCCCCCTCTTGCGTCGTACAGTACTGTACGGTAAATGTATTGTGTTGGAAAACCGAGATATCCAACTTCCTCCCGAGCCGGCCAACACCGAAACACCGTGCTCCATGCCCAGCATAACGTCTTACGTGTTCCCTCGCTGAACCAAATATGCTTTGACCGCTCCGCGAATGGCGAGTACACCGTACACTGCTTGGCATTTCTCAGCTACCTGAGCCACTCTCATGCCAGACATCCTTGCTCTCTTGCTCAACTGCGCGCATGGCCACTGCAACGTCTTCCAGCTTGGCGACGACGTCTATGACGCCCTGGTTGACCCGTTGAAAGTATCGGTCGTTTGCTTCGCGCCGCTTCCGAGCCATGAGGATGTCAACTTCCGTCTCTTCCTCCAGCTTGGCTCCCAGGAGATCGGCACCTCCGCTACTGCTTTCAGGGCGACCACTAGTTGTCCCAACAGTGCTCTTTGCCGCATCAGTCCCGTCGGCGCCCGCCCGTGGCGCCTCCGTGAGATTGCCCATGATGTTGCGCAGGTCGTCGCCGGCAGGGGGCGCCGGGTTGCCGTCAGGGGTAGCCGCGATTGCATCGTCAGCCTCACTCCGAGCCCACGCCTGCGCAAGGGCTATCTGTGCCGTCCGCAATTCTGACAGCTTGTGATCGTGTTCACGCCCGAAGACGTGTGTACCCCCCGAGGCAGAGAGCTCCACCTCCTCTAGGGTCGCCTGCATCTCCGCCCATAACGCATCGGTTCTATCAGCGCTCCGAGTGCTCGCTGCGGTCAGCAATGCTCGTCCGGATCGCTGTTGGAGATCGGAGGGTGCTCCGGACCCGGAGCGCACCGAAGCACTGCGTTCGAGGGTGGGCTGATCCCGTCTTGTGCTCACAGGCCCAGGGATTGGATTCCCTGGAGCTAGGGCGCCGGGAAGAGACACATGGGAGGCGCCTGGGGATGGGTGCAGGAACAACACCGGCGGCGGTTCTCGTTGTTTGGCTCGAGTCTTCGGAGGAGCAGCGCCGAGATCCTCGTTAGCCTCCCCAGTTTTGGAGCTGGAACTGGCGCGAGCGGGTTTCCTCCTTGAAGCCATGTTGTCGAGGGCGCTCCATCGCTGAGCACGAAGGCTAGATGGAGGCTCTGCCGAACCGACGTTAGCAGGAGGCGTTCGACTTGTACCAAGAGCTGTAGACTGGAGTCATGCCGTAATTAGTACGAAGTACTTCGTACGTACATCCACTCAAGCATCTGGATTCCTGGAATGCAAGTGGGCCCGCGTGGCCGACCGGGCTTCCGGCATTGGTTTCTCCGGCACCCCTCCAAGTCACGTGGCCAGAAAGCCCGCTCCACACACGACTCTGCCCATGCTAGGGCGCAAAAACCCTACCTGGGATTTCTGCAGGTCCGCTCTCAACTTTTCGCAGCTCCGCCCGTCCCAATAACCATCCGTCGACGCGATACGCAGATAAATCGGTATGTGCCATCACCAACGCCGGCTGCCGACTCCCAATCATCCTCGTCGTCACTTTCGCATTGCTGACTTGAACGACCGTTAGCAATCATGGCTGGTGGCAAACCCCGTGGTCTCAACGCCGCACGCAAGCTGCGAACGAACCGAAAGGACCAGAAATGGGCCGACCTTCACTATAAGAAGCGTGCCCTGGGCACTGCTTTCAAGTCCTCGCCTTTCGGTGGCTCTTCCCACGCCAAGGGCATCGTCCTCGAGAAGGTCGGTGTCGAGGCCAAGCAGCCCAACTCCGCTATCCGAAAGTGCGTCCGTGTCCAGTTGATCAAGAACGGCAAGAAGGTCACGGCTTTCGGTAGGTCTCTCGATGCACTGCGCGGCGGCAGCTTTGTTGCGGCTAACATGTATTTTCAGTCCCCAATGACGGTTGCCTGAACTTCGTGGACGAGAACGACGAGGTCCTTCTGGCTGGTTTCGGTCGCAAGGGCAAGGCCAAGGGTGACATTCCCGGTGTTCGATTCAAGGTCGTCAAGGTCTCGGGTGTCGGTCTGCTCGCTCTGTGGAAGGAGAAGAAGGAGAAGCCTCGGTCTTAGAGCAGGAGATACTTGCGGAAAAGAGCGAAGTCACGTCATAATTTTGGCATGAGGAGTAACATTGGCTTGCTGGCATCGGCATACAGGTTGGGTTTTGTCATGCGAGACTAGGTTCCGAAGGTAGATCCAGGTCTCTCTCAAAACATTCGAGCATCATAACAGCACGTCGAATCCATTGTTTGTCGTGACCTTGTATTGTTGTACAGATATGGCTCTACTGTTACACGCCGGGACGGCGGTACCCTCGTTTGGGGAGGGTTCACTGGCCAGCTTCCATTGCGGCGGCGGCATCCTCCTCTGCCTTGCGTATCAGATAGTCGGCAGCCAGTCCCGCGCTAATGGTACCGCCGGTGATCCAGCAACCATTTCTGAACCACCACCAGCAGTCCTGGACGCTCTTGAGGTTGACACGTTTGATCATGACGCCCAGGCTGATCAAGGCCCCGCCGCAACTGCCGACAAAGAACGCTGGTCCTGCACCTGAAGCCACCCCCGCCGCCGCCAGCAGAGCCACCTGCGTGACGGCCAAACCCGTCAGCACCTTCTTGGTGTCGGCATCATGCTTGAGAGCAATGCTCTTGATCCCGGCCTTCGCATCGTCCTTGATGTCCATATGAGCATAAATCATGTCATAGAGGACCGTCCAGGCGACGTTGGATGCGTATAGAAACCCAGCGGCTGTCAAAACGGCCGAGTTTGACAATAGGTCCAAGCCGAGAGCAGGGAATCCCATGATGGCTCCCCAGGAGAACGTCAGCCCCAAGACGACCTGGGGATAGTATGTTACCCTCTTGGCCAGGGGGTAGGATGCGACCAGAGGCAAGCTCAAAGTGCCGTATAGAATGCACGGGAGGGGAAACTGAACCAACACCGCTAGCCCTGCGAGGAGCTGAAAACCGGTAAAGACGACACCTTTGAATGGTGTGACGGCGCCACGGGCGATTGGCCGTAGTCGCGTTCTGTGGACGTGAGGGTCGAGGTTCCTGTCCCAGAGATCGTTGATGGTGCATCCAGCTCCACGCATGATGACGGCACCGGCCAGGAACAGCAGGGAGAAGCTAGTTACAGACCCCAGGGACGCCGCGGGTGAGAGCATTGGCGCCGCCATCAGCGTTGAGAAGAGACACGGGAAGAAGAGATAATAGGTGCCCGCCGGCTTGTCAAGCCGCACGAGCTCTGCGTACGGCACCCACGATCGCGGGATCTTGGATAGAAGGCCAGACGTCGGCGAGGTGTATGGAAGCACCACCGGCGAGGCCTGTTCGTTGCGTCCCGCATCGATCACCGGCAGTGACCGCGACTTGGCCTGATGAAAGGCTTTGGCTATGGCTAGGCTTACGGGCTGCCGCATCGAGCTGCGCCTTGCCAGAGACGGATGATGGAAGGGCGAGAGTATTTTCGTAGAGGTCCTCAGGACTAAGCCACACGAACCTCGCGAGGCCAATAACGAGGCCTTGGACATGTTTGTGGACGCCATGGCTCACGAATGAGCCTTCAACAAGCGAGGGTGTGCAACCTCCCTGTATCGCGACTGACGGTTAGGGACTACGTTCCTCTTGAAATGGACGGGGCAGCGCCTCACTCACAATGTGCAGCTATCAGTCCTCACTGATAGACTCCCGTTTGATTGCCTCGAATCAAGTCAGCGCATTCCTTTGGAGGCTGTCATGTTCTCACGGCTCAGGCGCCGGCAACTGGCAGGATATGGATCTCAAGAAAGCGCCAGGGCTGAGAGACTTGAATTGGTGTTGCCGCTCTGGGTCCGGCGCCGGTGGCCGACACGGTGGGCCCTAGGCACCAAATTCCTTTCATGTCCGGTGGGTCGTTTCAAGCCGGAGACCGACTAGCCAGGATCAGGCGAAAATGGTGCAGCAGCTCAGTGTGATGAACATAACTGTTATCCAGGTAAATGCGGTTTCTTTGCGACTGCGATGCATGAGGCAATGTTGCGGGCCTCCGAAATCAAAGGTTGCATTTGGCAAAGTGATTGAGGCAAGGACGCAAGCCCGCGCTGGCCACCGTCGTTCCGCGCTGCCAGTGGAAATCACGTGCCCACGCATCCATGAATCCAGCGAGTACGTACCACGACGCGGTTGGCGGGCGGACACCCACGCTGAACACTCAACCTCCATCCCAGCCTACGGCTACGGCGCATTCGCGACGGCGCAGCAGCAAGCCACCCAAGGCCCCGTGCCACAACACTCGGGCTTCCCCAACATCGCTCGATTGGTGCGGTGCCATGTATAAACCCCTTGGCTAACGGCCTGGCACCTAACACGCCACTTGCCGCCAGCAACGCCCACGGAGCCCACGGCACAGCACGCCCAGGACGACACCAACAGGCTACCAGACTTGGGCGCATCCCACCACAGCCTGCAGACCCGTGCGCGTCCGCACGCAGCCTCGCAACCATGCCGACCTCGCTTCATCCCCAGGCCAAGTTCGACCCTATACCGCCGGATTTAGACCTTCACGCTTTGGTCGACCGCACCCCAAATTTCAAATGGGTACAAAGGGTATCTCGGACACAGATTCGAAACCTCGGGCAGCAGGAATTCGAAAAGCTCGTTCAGATTCACGTTATAGCTGGCGGGAAGCCGCTCGTCATTGATGGATGGGATTCTGTGCTGCCCACTCAGCTGTTCAGCGCTGAGTGGCTCGAGAAGACCTACGATAAGAAGCGTACGTTCCAGTTCCTCTCGTCGAGCCGCTGCCTGGCCTCTCCGTCAACTGACCCTCCTTTCTGCAGAGGAAAATGTTCGCGATATCCCTGCCTCCAGCGATATTCCCATGACGATGGGACACTATTTACGGTCCATGAAGCAGCTCACGAACCAGTGGACGCCACACACTTTTCGCGACGAGCGGCGGCAGAGACTCTATCTCAAAGACATCGACTGCCCACCCGAGTGGCACGACGCCTTGCAGAAAGCCATCCAGCCCAGCCTCTTCTACCTCAACGAGAATGTCACTACGTCGGGCGGAACCGAGCGCGAGGAGGATGATCTCTTCCGGGGCGAGACAACCGCTGCTCCGGCCGGAGATCTCATGTCAAGCCTCCCCGAAGAGATGCGCGCCCAGAATCTGATGTGCTACATTGGCCACGAAGGTACATACACTCCGGCTCATCGCGAGATGTGTGCTTCACTCGGTCAGAACATCATGGTCGAGGCGTCGAGAGATGGTGCTGGTGAGAAAGCTGGTAGCTCAATCTGGTTCATGACGGAGAGCAAGGACCGTGAAGTCGTCCGGGAGTACTTCCTCTCGATGCTCGGACACGACATTGAGATTGAGAAGCATTTCGCCCAGATCAATGCCTGGAAGAAGGCACCCTTTGATGTCGCCGTGGTCGAGCAACGGCCCGGAGACTTCATCCTCATCCCTCCGCTCGCGGCCCATCAGGTCTGGAACCGTGGAACGAGGACCATGAAGGTTGCTTGGAATCGTACGACCGCCGAAACCCTGGACATGGCTCTGCACGAGGCGCTGCCGAAGGCCAGACTGGTCTGCCGGGACGAGCAGTACAAGAACAAGGCCATTATCTACTTCACACTTCAGAAGTACTTTCAAGAATTGCAAGAGATGGAGGAGAAAGCAGAGATGGCTCAGCTGAGCTTCATGGGCATCGGCCACAACATTATCAGAAACTCGCCCCGCGCCAAGCACCTTGCCAGTGACTTCAAGAAGCTCTTCTCACTTTTCTCCGAGATTCTCGTGGACGAAGTCTTTGCCACCAAGGAGAAAGACGTCGAATTTCTACCGTTCGATTCTTGCGTCACATGTTCCTATTGCAGGTCGAACATCTTCAACCGGTTTCTGACCTGCAAACATTGTGTACGGACTCTGGCGAGCGGAGACGAAGATGCCTACGATATATGCATGGAGTGCTATGCCATGGGTCGGTCCTGTGCGTGCCTTTCTGGGCTGCAGTGGTGCGAACAGTGGTCCTGGTCCGACTTGATTGACAGTTATGAGAATTGGCGCGCCATGGTGATCATCAGCGACGGGTACGTTGACCTGCAGAACTCACCACCTCCCTTCGAGATTGCTCGCCAAAAATCTGGCAAGAAATCAGTCGCCCAGATCTGCCAAGAGGCATTGAGGCGACGCCCTTGGAAAGACATTACCAAGCCAGAGCGCGAAAAGACACCCAGCGACTCGGAGCAAGTGGACGACGATGACAAGTCGAGAAAGAAGCCGAAGCGGAAGAAGAAGAAGGGTGAACTGCGTCGATGCCACGTGTGCTGCCACAAAGACTACAGCTACAGAGTGCACCAATGCACCAACCCTGGATGCACCGAGGGCTACTGTTACGGCGTGCTCTACAGAGCGTTTGACATGATGCCACAGAAGGTGCTCGAGGATGAGTACTGGCAGTGTCCGAAGTGTCTAGGCATCTGCAGCTGTGGCGGCTGCCGCCGGTCTGGTAACACAAACGCCTATACTCCAAAGAGCACCCTTCTAGGCCACGACACTCGTCCAATTGCCGATGACCGGAGCGTAGAAGCGCTAGTCGATTTTCGAGTTCACAACCTGTCCTGGCTCAAGGCGGTCGGAGAAGAGGGTAGGAGCAAGGACAGCCGCAGAATGCAGCGCCTGAGAGAGCAGGCAGACAGTGCGAAGGCGCAAGATTTGACGCATCAAGTCGAGGCTGGACAGGCAATGCCGGGCGAAAGCGAAGCAGCAGACTCCGCCAACGTCGCTACCACCACTGCAACCGGTGTCAACGGCTACGGCGATCAGAGCGAAGTGTTTGGCACAGAAGGCCCCATGCTGGGCAGCTATACTCAGAACGCGGATTCCAGCCAAATCAACGGGATGCCAGCTGCCGTCGATGAGTTTACTGCAGGGCCAGGGGCCTCTGACATGGGCGACGCCGACAGGTCATCCTACCCGGATCCATCGGTGCTCGTTCGTCAGCGCATCGGAATGGGCTATTACGAGCAGGACGACACGCCGGACAAGATCTTGTTCGATCCTTATCAGGCACCGTCTGAAGACGCCATGAAGATGCGAGATTCTGAGGTGCCTGAATTTGTGAAGAAATCGATTCGGGCGGCAAAGAGAAAGGCGAGGCGGGAAAACGAGGATCCTGACTTCATTGTTGGGCGAAGCCATCACTCTAAGAAGCCGCGTCTCACTCAGCAGGCAGATTTCTTGGAGAGCATGGATCCTGCCCTCTTTGACAGCCCCGCTGCTCCCGCTGGCAACGACCGCGAGGCCGTAGGAGACGACAGCTCACGCCCTAGTCGGCAGTCAGAGGCACCGGCAACCCGGCCGGACGATGCTCCCCAACGACGGCAGGCAGCCCTACGTTTCGACGCAAACGAACCAGAGCTCCGGCACGCCAAGCCGTTAGCATCATACGTGGAAGTCGAGGATGCTGAACTTGACGATGCGGAGGAGGGCTCGTTGACAGCGCAATCGCCACGAGCACCCGAGAAGCCTGCTGGCTCTTCTCGGAGCAACGCCATTGACGCTGCCGCAGATGACATTCGGGGGATATTCGGCGCACCGACAGAGGCCACGGCCCACGGAGCCCCAGCTCCAGCGACGACACCAGGAGCGGCACCTAAGAGGCGCGGCCGGCCGCCAAAGAGGCTTGTGGTAACGGAGGCTGCAGGTGACGATGGAAGGGCCACAATTAGGCTTTCGTCGCCCGTCGTTGAGACTGAGATTGGGAAGAAAAAAAGAGGACGGCCACGAGGTTCAACCATGAGCGTCGGTGCAGCTACTCGCAGGCCCAACGACGACAAAGGCTCAGAAGGATTGCCAATGGGCAACGATACGGAAGCGCACTTGTCCGGCAAGGGTTTGCTCCGAGCGGACTCGGAAGCTGCACACGAGCAAGTACCTCCACGGCGTAGAGGCAGACGGTCTGGCGTTACGACTATTGCCGCTGCGAGCGCGGAGCTGGAAGCCGTCGAAGGTCCCGACAACGAAGCCTCTCAGCCATCGCCCTCCACTGTGCCCACGTCCACGCCTCGCCGCGGGACAGCAACGACGGGCAGACAGCGAGGCCGACCTAGACGTTCGGGAGCCGCAGCGCCCACACCGTCGTCACGCAGGGAGAGTTCACCTATAAGTAACCCCCAATTCATGTCCCTAGCTGAGCGCATGGCTCTGAAGGGCAAGAAATTTAAAATTGGAAAGCGGAAGACTGGAGACGGTGATGTGGCGACCAAAAGGGGCATTTCGCCCCCGGGAGATGCGGCAGAGGAACAGTCACCCGGCAATGGGGTGAGGTCAGAGGCCGTTTCGAGTCAGTCGGGGGGTGAACGTCCTTCCAGGGTACCCGACGGCGCCGAGAAGAAGGCCGCACGGTCGCGTGGTCTGCACGCATCGGAGGCCACAAGAGGGGCTCGGCAAAGCGATGGCGATCAACCTCCTGTGACGCAGACTGTTGTGCGTCTGGCGGATGTCGAGTCGGAAGACAACTCTTGGGATGGGTCATCATCCAGCTCTGCAATCGGATCTGGCGACGAGGACGACATCCCGTCTGGCCGACCCGAGCCATCCCCAATTATCAGGGCGGCGAGAAGGGGTGGTGCCCGCGGACGGGGAGGCTCCAGGGGTCGAGGAAGAGGACGAGGACGAGCCGTTGTATGAATGATCGAACGACGCCCACTGGATGCTAGGCTAGGCCGAGTTGATGCATCCAGAAACGGTTCCCTGTGTTGTAATATAGGTGCAAATATGCACGACGGCTGGCAAGGTTTGCATGCTCGTCCAGGCACAAGATTTCCAGACGCCCGGGAAGGGCTGGAGTGAGCCTGTGTGAGTATACAGATAAGTGAGGTATTTCTGCCGGCTCAGGCCAGATATTGGTAGCATCTCGTTCGCCCAAGTTGGAAGCATCGCCGGCCAAAGTTGACGGCGACAACCATGCAGGCAGCGAGCAAAGACGGTGACCGAACGGGCAGGCCCTTTCACCCGTTTACGCACGCTGTCTTGTTACAGGAAACATGTTTGCTGACGCCTTGGTCACTGCCGAGTTCGCAGCCGCGCATTTTCTGGGCCACGTGGGATCGGCTGGCGACGCCGAGCTTTTGTGGGTTTGACGACGAAGCGCCATCATGGTACGAACGCATTTTAGTCGTGGAAAGACGCATCTCGTCGCCCAAGGATCGTTCCAGGCGGCATGGGGGTATCGGACATCGCTTAGCGACTTTGCGGCCACGTGGGCGCATTCGCATCTGGTGTATGGTGCTGGCGGGCTGCCGTTTCGGCCCCCCTCGCCCAAAAAAAAAACCCCCCGACTTACACACCGTGGAGTCTCCGCCCCCCTCCCGTATATATGACATGGATACAGGTTGGAGGGAGCTTCGCAGGAGTTTTCGGTAATTTACCGTCCTCGCTCGCGTTTCTCTTGAAATTTTCCGGGCACGCCTTCTGGTGGTTCCCGCGGCGGCTGCCGGGATCGGACTGTATGCGGGCTGCGAATCATCGTCGGACTGCAGCGCGGCTGTGGGTAGACGCCAACCCTCCGGCGCAGGCTGTCGCCATCGACACATAAGGTAGCCAGTATCCCGTATAAGAAGGGCGTCGTGAGCGGCACGTCACCGTTGCAGCTTTCCGTCTGTGCCAGTGCGGTACTAAAAGTGGCAGATCACTTCTCCCCGCCTCCCTCCCATTTACTCCTCCTTTTCTCCCACGGGACACTGCCCGTGCTCTTCCTCCTCCTCTAACCGCCACGCCTTCACCGGGCCACCCACGATCCCGCATGCTGGCCTTTGCCCTCTCCGCGGGCGTCGTCGCCACCACGGCGCTGCTCGCACACGTTGGCCCCGCGACTGCTGCGGATGCGGCGGCGGCCCCGCAGCGGCTGCAGGTGCAACTGCCCGTCGAGCGAGCCGCCGATGATGTCGACGCTGGCTGGCACGCGCCCAGGCAGACGAACCTCAACAACCTCACGGCGGTGCTGGGCGGCTCGGGCGTCTACGGCTTCATCTACAACTCGTCCTCGACGCCGGATGAGCGCTACGGCACGTACAACTGGTGCAACATGCCACACGTGAGGCGCACCGAGTACGTTCGGCCGCCGCCCGAGTATGAGCTTCAATATGTTGAGCTGGTGAGAACGTCATCTCCGGTGGGCCTGAGCTTCGGCAGTCCTGCTCACTGGTCCGTTTAGATTCATCGCCATCACAAGCGCACGCCGTACGCCTCTAATGCCTTCCCCGTGGAGTCGTACCAGTGGAACTGCGACGATGCCCACCTCTCCCTCTACGGCGACCCTCTCGACGGGCCTGACCCTGCCAAGGTATTCCGCAAGGGCTACATCTCCCCTGTGAACCCCTTCGTCCCGGCTGGCTGGATTGGCACCTGCAGCTTCCCCCAGATCACCGCCGAGGGCCTGGACGATTCGTGGCAGCACGGCGCCGATCTATACGGCGTCTACCATGACCTCCTCCGCTTCCTCCCAGCCCGCAGTGGAGATTACAAGTCTGCCGTTCGCTACCGAGTCACCAACAACGTCATTACTAGTCAGGTCGCTGGCATGGTCATCAATGGCATGTGGGGGGCCACCGACGCCTTTCCCCTCATGATTCAGGTACGTGACATCTGACCGCCGTCCTTCGACTTCGTCTTGTGCTGACGCGCCTCTTCCGCGGACCCAGGCCGACGGCGTCGACAGCCTAGAACCCCTGTACAGCTGCAAAACCGCCAGCAATTCCTTCAACAGCATCAAGTCAGACGCGAACCCAGCCTGGAGCAAGCACCTGGCAGACTCGGTCAACCTGTACCACGTCCTCGACGACATCTCAGGCGTCCCATCCGGCGATGGCGGATTCCACGCCTCCTTTGATCATTACTATGACAATCTCTCGGCTCGTCAGTGCCATGGGAAACCGCTCCCGTGCAAGCTCGTCAACGGTGCCAACAGCTCTACTTGCGTAAACCAGGAGCTCGCCGACGCCGTCTACCGCCTAGGCCACTGGGAATATAGCCAAATTTACCGCGACCATCCGTCATCTCTCCCGGCGAGCGCGGCATCCCTCGGCGTGTGGGTTGGGGAGCTGGCAACGCATCTGCGCGCCTTCATGAACGGGTCGACAGGCGTCATCTATTTCCACAACATTGCCCACGACGGTTCTGTCTCGCGGCTCCTGGCGGTCCTCCAGATTGACGAGATGGTGTGGCCCGGCATGGGATCCGAAGTGGTCTTCGAGCTGTACAAACGCAAATCTGTGCAACCACAGCCCACGCCGAACCCCGCTGCTTCCGGCTGCAGCCGCGACAACTGCCTCCGCCACTTGATACGATATCCGGCTACAGCGTCGGCAATTTGCGGTCTTGGCCACCCGACCTCTACCTCGGGGCCCGCCACGATTCCCACTCGGCCGTCTCAGTGTCGCGATTCCAAGGCGGTGACATCAGCATGCTCTTGCCTTCAAACTCCCACTGCGACCGGGACCTCCGCCCCTACACCGACGACGGTTCCACCCAGCAAGAGCGAACATTACGTGCGGGTGCTCTTTGGCGGCAAGGTCCTCAAGTCCTCTAACCCCTCACTGGGGTTGATGGACATGATTCCGGTGGAGACGTTGCTAGAGTACTTTGACAGTCTTGTCGGGCAAAGTGCCAGCCTGGTAAAGTCCAAGTGTCAAGGGTAGGTTCGTATGTAGCGAAATGTAGATGTTGCGCATATTCTGGTTCCTGAACCTGTCTTCGTGGCAATACGCGATGGTGTGTTGACCTAGTTTCACGGGCTTCGTGTAGCCTAGCCGTCGTTAAGGCCGAGCTGTCTCTCGAGGTCACCCCACCTGCCGTTGCGCTTCGGATCCAAAAGCCTCAACTTCTCGAGCCACACTTGCACGTCAACCCTTTCCTCCCCAAGCAATTGTCGATTTTCCAGGCGGCCAACGAGGACGGTGTATTCGACCAGTGCCTCGTATATTGTTTTCATGTCGCTGTAATCTTCTAGGAGATCGCGGACGTTGCCAATCTGTGAGATCAAATGAGACCTGCGATCAGCCAGGGAAAGATGGGGAGTGATAGCCGCCATGCCACTGGCCTCAGCCATGTTCGACACGAGATAGCCATGGTAGTACCAGAGAGACTGGTCCTCGGGACCAACGTTGAGCCCTTCATTTACAAGTTCGAGCTCTTTGGTTCGGGTCAGAGGGGCAAAGGCGCTACATTCGACAGAGCGACTTACCAGTCTCTAAAAAGGCTTCTCGGGCTTCATCATCCGCCTCACGTTCCTTGAGCAAGCGAGGTATCAACTGGCTGCGGTTATGCCAGGCAGAGAAATTTGACAGGTCCTTGGATATCATCTTGGTGGTGTACTCAAACTCGGACTCAACCATGGAGTGGCCTGCTGGTATCAGGCTCTCAAGTTGCGCAACGACGTGGCGCCGGTAGCCCCAGGCGTGGAAGTTTCTCCTGTCCTTGTCAAGCATCTTGGCGACGAGCCCCAGTTCGTCTTCCCAAATTGCCCGCGCAGCGTCGACAGGCAGTCTGTCAATGGCCTGGCTAAGAACCCACAGTCTGTACTTCCAGATCCAGTAGCATTTGGGGAACTCTATTAGCAAGGGGACCGTGAATAAAAGCTCGGCCCTGATGGAGTGGCTATCCGGACTCATCGTGGCTTCAGCGGGGCCGTCCGGCGACGGGGTCTGTGATGGCTGCGTACGGGTAGCAAGAGAAGCGGACGCCTGTGTGAGCGATGGTGTCGACGATGATGCGGATTGTGAAAGTATGGTGAGGTTCATGCAGCGCCTTCGGGCATTCCACACAGTATAGTATTCTGGATTCAGCCGGAGAAGCTGCGAGGTGAGTTGAAATGTCTCACGGTCGAACAAGCCATCCTTGACCTTGACACAAACTCTTGATTAGCGGCGCTGGAACAGACAGCACGGAGCCTGTGGGGCTTACCCGCTGTCGAAGTCCGTCCTCCAGATTCCGATACTTGGAGATCTTGAGCAGGTCCTGCTGGAGCTGCTCCTGGGTTCGAGGGCGGAAAGCAGTCCGAGCAACCCCGTGCTGGTTCCGATGCGTTAGTCAGGCCGATGCGGCACCGTTGATCTACACCCTCTAGAGCGAGCACATACACTGGTCATTTCGATGTCGGGCGGCAAGTGAATCAGTTGGCGGGGTCAAACCAGGCCTGGTGCGTCTGGACTTCGAAGCAGGTGAGTTTCCAGACGGCAGTTCGTGCTG